AGTGCAATATGAAATTAGTAAAGTGAAGAAAGGTCACTTTAATAAATTAATTAAAGATAAAACAAACAGTGCCGATATCTGGAAGGCTATTAATGCGCTAACCAATAAGAAACATTGTTCAGACCAGGCAATATTTAATTTGCTAACATGTGAAACGTTCAGTTCCTTCTTCAGATCAGAAATTGAGTATTTAAAGTCATCAATACCAGGTTCACAGTGTGACTTAAGCCTACTAGCATCATTCTGTGAGGAAAAATGCACCACAACTACTTCTCCAGAGATCCCACTTCTGTCTGCTGCTGAAGTGTATAAATATCTCTCCAACCTCAAGCAAACAAACTCCTCTGGCTTAGATGGAATCAGTAATCGAATTCTTCTATGTGCTGCACCAGTCATTTGTGACTCCCTAACATTCATATATCTTCTTCTTCTTCTTGTTCACCGGCTGTGAATTCCGGCGGTAAGTCGCGGTTGTTCGTCCAAAAAGACTTTTGGCTTTTACCTTGACCTGAGTTTTGCGTGGACATCCGTTTTACTGGCTTATTTGTTTGCAGTTCTCGTTCCCCACCTCTCCGGCAGATGTACTCCGACTTCGAGGGAAGACGTCAAGCCTATTTCTAGGTTGACTGTGGCCATTGTTTTGTGTGGGTCGAAATGTTGCCTCATTTGTGTGGTGTCCTCTTTGACCTTTAACAGGTGTGGCCCCCGGAATATCGTCCTTAAGGCAGCCCTAGGTAGAATTGTCAGCCCTCAAGAGAAGTCAGGGGCAGATCATGGGCATTCCCCGCCATCCAAGGAGGCTTCCATAAATGCAGAGCCGACACATGATGCTCTGGTTCTGGGCTCACCCAAGGAATCGCCACGTCCTGCCCATGACTGCTTAACCTCACAACCGTGTATTGAGCTTCCCGCGCTACAAGGCTGCACTCTTCGGAGATCAGCGGGGAGCAGCCCGCAGGTCCAGGACTTTTGTGGCCACACAAATAGGTACATTCTTTTTCATTGCACGTTAGACACCTTTAACGTTGTTTCAGTTGTGCCCTTAGCACGACAGAATGGGGAAGCAAAATGCGTCAGGCGTGGCTTCACCTGTTTGGTTCCAACACTCGGGCGAGTGGGACCAGTGGATACGGACATTTGGACTTTTTCCTAATTGGTACGAATTATGATCGTCGGACTTTGAGCTTGCATGTGTGCCGTGGGGTATAACTTTGTCGGACATTATTTCCTAGCCAGCATATGAAAAGTTGCTGCCGTGGTGTACCTCAGGGCGGTGACGACGACACTGAAGATTGACAGAGGATGTATGTAGGTAGGATCTTGCTGCGAGAAGTCGCCCACAAGAGATATTACTCGTCTTGGCTGCGGGTAAATCTCTCGGTCAGGGTTAAGTCTCAGCAGCACAGTTTTCCATTCGCTCCCGAATTTTAACTGAGAGTTGTCATTTGATGGTACATTTAGCAAGCAATCCTTGAGTTTTGTTAGACTTTTCACCCATGCGTTTGGGGGCGGGCTGGTGAGAGCCAGAAAGGACACTACACCTCTAGGGGCCGCCAGCTCCGAGATCACCTGCTAACTCTGTTAATGCTCATTTGAGACATTATCCGTGGCGCACGACGGGGACGTGCAGCAGGAGTCTTGCATGAGGTTCCGTAAAACCAGAACAGTGAAGGACTGGCGCCCGAGTGGGGTACGGAGTATCTCCTAATACACATCACATCAGACTTAACTTTGCCTCATGCCTGTGACCGAAATCACCGCGCCACACGTTCATATATAATCAGTGCCTTTGTAAGAACTACTTTCCATCATTTAAAATTGCCAAAGTGTATCCTCTACTCAAACCTGGCTCAGCTGACAACAGTTCTCTTGGCAGTTATAGACTCATTTCTTTACTGTCCTCGCTATCCAAACCATTGAAGAAACACATACATAAAATAACGTTTCAGCATTTAAATAACAACAATCTGATAGTTGATAGCCAATCAGGGTTCAGGCCTATGCACTCTTGCCATACTGCGATGACAAAAATGACAGACAACTGGCACTTTAACATCAACAAAGTCAAAATTTGCAGTGCAGTTTTTGTAGACTTTAAGAAAACCTTCGATGTGGTTGATCATGATATTCTAATTAATAAATTAAAAATATTAAAAACTAACGATAATTTAGTCGACATAATGCGGTCATTTTTATCTGATAGACAGCAAGTAGTATCCTTCAACAACATGCGATTTATTTGCTGATGACTGTACAATATATACTAGTAATGAGAATCGTAATGAGTTAGAAAGATCTTTACAGAAAGAAGTACACAATCTTTGTAAATGGAGGAACAGCAATCGCATGCAAATTAACATAAATAAAACGAGGTCTATGCTTATAACAACCAGACAAAAGTTGCAAACATTAGTACAGCACAAGCCGACACTCGAGCTCTACATTGATAAATTACCTATTGTTAATGTAACGGAACACAAAACTTTAGGCCTGACAATTGACAACCATTTAGCCTGGAATTCTCATGTTTCTGTCATAACTAAGAAAATAGCACAAAAAGTTTATCAGCTTGTCAAAATTCAGCACTTTCTAGACGAAGATGCAAGAAAATTATTTTACACATCTTACATCAAAACACATGTCGACTATTGTTCCACAGTTTGGGATGGTTGCGCCAAATCCAATGTTAAAAGACTAAGTTCTCTTCAAAACCGTTCTTTACGCCTGGTTTCAGATAGTAAACATATCATAAAAAATAATCTCTTTAACCATCTAAGACTTTTGCCATTTAGCAAACGTTTAATTTTTAACAAGGCCAAATTTATTCATAAAATTTTATCTCAAAATACTCCAAACTACCTTTTCTGATTAATTAAATCAAATCCTATAACAGCAAGCGACTAAATTTATAACATTTACCTAAACCTAGAATAGATTTATATAAAACAAGTTTAGCGTACTCCACTGCTCATTTGTGGAACCAACTTCCACTAGATCTGAAGAATTCTAAAAGTCCCTATTCATTTAACCGTAAACTTTTTCAATTCATACTTATAAGCGATTATATGCCACCTTCAATGTAATGTAACCCATATTGCATTATCAATTTATTATTAAACAAAGTGTGTATGATATGTATGTTTGTGCGCGCGTGTGTGTGTGATATGTATGTATGTGTAGGCGTGTTTGTGTACATATGATTCTGAGTATGTTGTTTGTCTGCATGTGTGTCTGCGAATGTATGCGTCTGTGTCCTTGTGTATGTGTGCGAATGTGTGTGTGTTCGTGCGTATGTCCATGTGTATGTTTCAGTGTGAATTGGTCTGTGTGTGTTTAGGTGTGCCTCTTTGTTGTGTATGTGTGTCTGCGTGTGTGTATGCGATTGGATACATGTAGCTGTGTATATGTGTCTGTGTGTGTGTCTCGGTGTTTTTCTGCATATTTGATGTGACTGTATATCTTCGTGTGTGTCCCAGTATGTGTTTGTCTGCATGTTTGCGTGTGTATGTTTATGTGTTTTGTCTGCGGGTGTGTCTATGAGGCTGTATGTATGTATCTTTGTGTGTGGGTGTCTGTATGTCTGTCTACGTGAGTGTATGTGTCAGCATCTGTCTGTCTGTGCATGTCTATGTGTGTATTGTGTGTGCCCCTTTGTTGTCTGTATGTGTCTGCATGTCAGAGTATATGTCTGTGCGTGCTGAATATATGTGTTTGCATGTGTATTTCTATGTTTGTATGTGTATGCATTTCTACATGTTTGTCTGTGTGGGTGTCAGTATGTGTTTGTTTGTCTGTATTTGTGTGTGTGTGTGTGTTTGACTGCGTGTGTGGCTGTATGTATGTGTCTGCATATTTGTCTGTGTATGTGTGTGTGTGTCATTGTGTGAGCACGAATGTTATGTGTGCTGTGTGTTTATATGTAAGTATCTGTGTGTGTGTGTCTGTATTTTTGTCTAAGTGAGTGTGTGTGTCTCTGTGGGAGTGTGCATGTGTGTGTCTCCATGCACGACTGTATTTATGACTGTATGTTTGTATGTGTGTATGCCTGTATTACGTATGTAATAATGAATGTATGTATGTATGCCTGTATGTTTGTATCTATCTATGTATGTATGTTTGTGTGTATGTATGTATGTATGCCTGTGTATGTATGTATGTATGTATGTATGTATGTGGGTATGTATGTATTTATGCCTGTATGTATGTAATGTATGCATGCATGCATTATGTGTGTGTAAGTGAGTGGGTAAGCGTGTGTATGGGGGTGTATGTATGCACGCCGGGTTTTTGCGTGCACTTTACAACTCATGCTTTTGTGTTCTTTTATAGTATTCATAATATGCATATCATCATATGATCATAACATGCTTTATTAGTAAAATACAACTGCTGTGCCAAAGATGGTTGACTGGAAGGGCCGAATGTAAGACGGGCCTGCGTGCCCAATTTGTGACCCTTTGAAAAGTTAGTTTGTTCTAAGTGTTGAGTGTCAGACAGACATGTGTCCATTTTGCATTTCCTCTAAGGGTTGAGTGTCAGAAGATGCCATGTCCATCTTGCCTTTTCTCTAAGTGTTGAGTGTCAGAGCAATACTGTGTCCATCTTGCCTTTGCATAAGTGTTGAGTGTCAGAGCAATACTGTGTCCATTTTGCCTTTCCTCTAAGTGGTGTTGAGTGTCAGAGCAATACTGTGTCCATTTTGCATTTCCTCTAAGTGTTGAGTCTCAGGCAGACATGTGTCCATCTTGCCTTTCCTCTAAGTGTTGAGTGTCGATCTTGCGTTTGCTGTAAATGTTGAGTGTCAGACTGATTCAGTGCTGACTTGCCTTGGCATTGTTGTTTCCACAGTCTGCATGTGCTTATGTTTTCCCAGCAGTTGAACAAATAAACAAACTTTATTTGTAAAGGGTTGCAAATTCGGACTTTCTAAGCATTCATCTTTTATTTGGTAATTGTATTTGATATATTAAACATATTATGTTCATATATACAAATTTCAGATGTTGCAGATAAGCTGTCCATGATCTTTGAACAGCAAGCCCTGGCCACAGTCAAAGAGAAAAAGTTATCCAAGGAGCAGGCAGACAGAAAAGCAGCCATCTTGGCCCAGTATGGTCAGGTCTCAGATGGAGAAGAGTATCCTTTGATCTCTTTCTGACTTTATACAAATATTTATATTTTTTAAAACGTCAGTCTTACTTTAAATACCTGAATATATACATGAGGCTCACTCTCACACACTTTCTCTCTCATGACCTGTGTGTTTCACACACTTTCTCTCTCATGACCTTTATGTCTCACACACTTTCTCTCACATGACCTGTGTGTCTCACACACTTTCTCTCATGTGATCTATATGTCTCACACACTTTCTCTCATGTGACTTATGTGTCTCACACACTTTCTCTCACATGACCTATATGTCTCACACACTTTATCTCACATGACCTATATGTCTCACACACTTTCTCTCACATGACTTATGTGTCTCACACACTTTCTATCACAAGACCTATATGTCTCACACACTTTCTCTCACTTGACCTGTACACCTCACACATTTTCTCTCATGTGACCTATGTGTCTCACACTCTTTCACCTCAGTTGATCTACTTAAGTACACACTATTTTCCCTCTACATGACCGGTGCGCCTCACACGATTTCTCTCACACAACTGTTACCATGTTGACTGTAATGGTGAAAGTCCCCTAACTGAACACAGAACTGACCCGGAAGAATTGAGCGCTGATGAGATTTCAACTCCAGCCATTGCTGCTGCTGGTACAGGTGCTGCTGCTAAAGTCAAAGGGGAGACCAGCGATCGTATCCTTGCTTGAGCTGGTGTGGCTTTTTTAAATAGTGTTATGATAGAGTTATAATAGATTATTAACAGTTATAGTGGGTTGTTGAAAGATATAGTAGATTGTTTGAAGTTTTAAATATTGTTGGAAGTTGTAGTAGAATATCGGAAGTTATAATAGATTTTTGAAAGTTACAGTAGAATGTTGAAAGTTAAAATAGATTTGTATAAATTACAGTAGAATATTGGAAGTTACAATATAATACATTTTTAGAAGTTACAGTAGAATATTGGAGATTATAATTAATTTGTATAAGTTACAGAAGAGTATTGGAAGTTATAATACATTTTCAGAAGTTACAGTAGAATATTGGAAGTTTTAATAGATTTTTATAAGTTACATAGAGTATTGGGAGTTTTAATAAACTTTCAAAAGTTACAGCCGAATATTGGAAGTTATAATAGATTTTTGGAAGTTACAGTAGAATGTTGAAGTTATAATGGATTTTTATAAATTACAGTAGAATATTGGAAATTATCATAAGTTACAGTAGAGTATTGAAAGTTATAATAAATTTTCAGAAGTTACTGTAGAATGTCGGAAGTTATATTAGAATATTGAAAGTTATAGTAAATTGTTGGAAGTTAAGTACAGTTAGAGTTTGTTGGAAACTAGTAGGTTGTTGGAAGCTAAATACAATCAGAGATTGTTTTAAGCTATAGTAGATTTTTGGAAGTTAAGTACAATCAGAGATTGTTGGAAGCTGTAATAGATTGTTGAAGTTATAGTAGAATGTTGAAAGTTGTATAAATTGTCATTCAGCACTCAGCGGCTTTAGGATCATAACCATACAAAACACTTTTGACAGAGTGCTGGAGAAGATAATGGCCGGTGAGCTACAAGAGTTTTTGGAAAAGACCAAAGCTACTTCCAGCAGGTTTGGGAAATTACCATCCAGGGAAAGATATTTGGTCAAGTGCAACCACTTTTGTCTTTGGTACTTTTGAAGGTTTTGAGAACAGATGGGAAATGGTGGTTGTGGCACTTGACTTGAAAGATCCTTACAACAGAGTTAGATATAGTATCTTGATGACAGCGCTTATGGAGAAAGGAGTCTGTCCTTGGTTGGTGAACTGGATAGCATCTGTTTTGTATACTCGTTGAGTAGCTATCTGCCTGGGTTTGTGGACCTCTGAACCATGTATTGTAGCCCCCAGGTCTACTACAGTTATCTGCAATTTCACCTGTGCTTTTCAGTGTGTTTACAAGCAAGATTGTGGACCTGGAAACACCTAGAGTTGGCAGATTATTGACATTCACAGATGATGTTCTCGCATATAGGCAGTTGAGAGATCGGAATCAAATAACTGAAGAGTTACAGACAACAGTAGATAAAGTAATTTACTGGTATACAGAGATGAGTGCTGTAATTAACCCAGAAAAGACAACCATCCTGTGGTGTTCTTTGGACAACATGATTGTTAGTCTCAGAATAAATTGTAGGAGAGACAGCAGACTGCGGTACCTGAGAATCACTTTTGACAGAAGTTTGTCTTTCAAGGATCACATAGAGGAGGTTGTGACAAAGGCTTTGAAAGGTCTTAAGCACTAAAGATATGGCAGCAATGGACATGGAGCAGAGAATGCTATTCACACTATACCAGCACTTAATCATCTCAGTGATTGATTAAGGACTTGGGTTGCTCACTGACTCAAAGAGTCAGCTTCCAATGCAGAGCCAGATTCAGAATTGATGGACACATCGGCAAACTGGCAAAACTAAGAGAAGGAGTTTCCCAGGGCAGTGCTATATCACCAACTCTGTTCCTGGTTTACATTAATGATATCACAGCAACCTGCCACCAGCACATTTCTAATACCCTACATGCCGATGACTTTGCAGTTTGGACAGCCTCCGAATACACTACCACAGCCTCATATCTGTTACAAAAAACTGTGGAAAATGTAGAAGCCTGGACCGAAAAGTGGGGTCCAAAGCTAAATAAATCCAAAAGCACAGCATCACTTTACTCTCTCTCCCCAAAAAAAGAAAAAAATCGAAATTTGGATTAAAAACCAGCTCATTCCAGAGACTCCTACCTTTCTGGGCGTTACACTTGATTCGCGACTAACTTGGAAGTCACATGTAGAAGCAGTACAGGGAAAAGCATTCAAGAAGCTTGCAGTTATGAAAAAATTAGCGGGTACCACATGGGGCGCTAACTCTAGAATCCTAAAACAAGTATATACTGGAGCAGTCAGGCCAGTCATGGAATATGCCTCCACTGCATGGGCTGCAGCAGCCAAGACAACAATGGGAAAACTGGACAAGGTTCAGAATATGGGATTAAGGATTGTTCTCGGAGCCATGAAATCCACCCCCATCAGAGAAATAGAAAAGATAGCAGATACTGAACCACTCGAACTCAGAAGACAATACAAAACTCTTTTACAGTATGAGAAATTAAAAAGACTTCAAAGTCACCCACTGCATTTTAAATTTCAAGAGAGAACAAAAACAGACTGAAGCGTCAGAGCTCCAACCACCTTGCTAGAGAATTGTACAGACAGCACCAAGATCTGCTTGAAAGAGATGTAGCTCTGTGCGAAAAACTTAGGCCAGAACCATGGACCAGCAAGCCAGAGAAAGCAAATGTAGTCCTAAAGGTACCAGGAATCACTTCAAAAGATGCCCAGACGGAGACACAACAGAGAACTCTGGCTCTTGCTATGCTTGATGAAAAGTATCCAAACACCACTTGGACTCAGGTTTTCACCGACAGCTCTGCTACAGATGCAGTCAGAAAGGGGGGTTGTGGAATTTACATTAAACCCCCTAGCAGTAGAGCAGAAACTCTCTCTCTCTACCAGCAGGTGACATCTGCACTAACTTCAGAGCTGAGGCAACTGCCCTCCTCTCTGCAGTCCAACATCTCATTACTCAAGAACACAGAGGGTACCAAATTGTTATACTTAGTGACTCATTGTCTGTTCTCCAAGCACTATCCAGCAAAAATCAAGACAAACTAATTGCTGATCTAAGGACCAACATTGGCTTACTCTCCAAGGAAGCAGAACTGGTCTTGCAGTGGATACCAGCCCACTGTGGTATTCAAGGAAATGAGAGAGCAGATGAGTTGGCAAAAGCTGGGAGTAATCTTCCACAACCTCATCCACCACACAGCTACAAGGAAACCAAAACAGCGCTAAAGCAGTCTTTCAAGCGGGAATGGAGAAGGCAGAATGGTGATTACAGACCAGAGAGTGACAGCATAAACAAACTCAACAAGAAAGAACAAACATCAATTTTTAGACTTCGGACTGGACACTGTGGTCTTCGAGCACACTTGTACAGGATAGGCATAAAAGAATCTGCTGCCTGTGATTGTGGAGCAGAAAGACAAACCCCAGAGCACATTCTACAGTATTGCCCTAATCTCTCCCAGCAAAGACTGTGAATCTGGCCCAAAGGAGCCACATTGCAAGAGAAGCTATGGGGGACCGGTGGCGACCTTAAATGCACAATCCTATTTGTGACCCAGACAGGACTCAATGTTTAGAATGACTGGTGTCGAATGCAGAAGAAGAAGAAGAAAAAGAGTCAGCTAGTGAAACTAGAGCGCATACAGAATGAAGCTATGCGGGTCACCCTGGGTTGTACAAGAGACACCCCGGTTGTGTGCATGCAATACATCCTTGACTGCGGACTATGGCAGACAGGCTAAAGATGCTTGTTGTGTGCTGTCCTGGGTGTAACCACAAGCATTACACAGTCAAGTGTCTAAAGATACAGTTCTCACTTCCACACATATAACTCAGGAAAACAATGATGTCATATCCGCCATACATATATTTATTGTCACGACACAGAGGGTAGTCACAATCTCTCACACATAAATTCAAACGAAGTGATATGGACATCTGTCCTAGCTAATACATTAACCTAGCTCCTCGTTTCACTCGCTTTGCCCGTATAGTCGCTCTCCCGGATAGCTTGTGCTCACTGCCACTGTATATGAGCTGACCAGTTAATAGGTCTACAGCGTCCTGCACTCTGGGCTCGCTGTACAGATGAACAGGAAATGTTTCCTATCAACTGGACCTCTGCTCTACACTCAGCAGACGCCTAGGCTGACTGGAACAGACTTAATAACACCACCAGTTCTCCAGCTTGTTCACATCAGCCCGTCGAAGGATTTTGATGACTGACAGGACTCCTGAGTCCCGTCTAGCATACAGCTATCGCCGGCATCTACGCTGTCTTGTTTCACTATTGATCCTATGCTACGCCCCCCCTGCGTCGTCACCCAAAACAGCTACTCTTGAGTGTCCAGTCCACATGGCCTGAATCTGCCACCTGGACTCTCTTCCTTCGACTGCACCGCGACCAAGACTCTTGGCTCAGATTTCACTGTCTGACTGGTACTGCAGTACTCTGTGTCTGTCTGACTCTCAACCCCTGTATATACCATTGCCTGCCCCTTGTGGGCAGCTCGGGCCCCACAAGAAGCACTAGCATCTTTCTTCCTTGCATTGCGGCTATCTGGTACAAATCATGCTAGTTAGCTCACTGGCTACTTACTACCTTGGGCATCTCGTGTCCATCTTGTGTCAAGTCCCTTTACACTTGTCAAAATATTGACTCAGCTGACATATATTTCCTGGCTTGAGTCGACTGGGAAACATATTGACACAGGTAACCGAACATTGTCGTGGACTCCCGACAACACCATTCCCACTATGTTGTCCTGCCCCAAGGTTACAACACACATGAATCAGCATGCTGCAGGCTAAGTCATACCTCAGAGTAACTGCAGACAGAAAGCACCCTCTCCATGAAACTTTGGGTGCTGTTAAGGGTAAGAAGCTGAAAAGGGGGAAATTGTGGATGGCTCAAGTCGAAGACACAATAAGACAAGTATGCTTGCTGAAGAACATTTTACAAGGAGATGAGTGTGTCCGTACCAGAGGAAAAGTCTGACCATTGAAGGGTCATGATCAAATTAGGCCGGGAGTGCAGAGAGTGGCCAGCGGGGGCTACTGAGGTGAAAGTGCAACAGTTGATTCACAGTTCTCGTCCTGATGGTTTGATTATCTATACAAATGGTTTTGTGTTAAGAGGGAAGAGAAGTACCTGGAGTTGGTAGCAAAAGCCAGTGGAAGATCTTTAGTGCAGGACAGCCTAGCATATGATACCACAACATCTAGTATGAGAATGGAGGCGGTCACTGCAGTTTGCCGGTGGCTAGAAAACAAGATGGATACACATGTGATAATTGTAACAGACTCTGAAAGCATACTGAGAAAGGTGAAGACAGGGTTGCTTCGAGCAGAGTGGCAAGCTCAACTTAAAAGGTCACGGGTAGTAAGCATACTTTGGATCTTTTCCCGAGGCAATTCCGGCGTGGTGGGGAATTAGCAGGCAGACAGATTGGCTGGATCTGCACCACTAGGTGGTGAATTGATACATGACAAATCAGATGTGGTCAAAGCACTTTGAAAACAAGTAACGGTCAAAGAGAAACTAGATTATTATGGCCTGGAGAGAATGATGCACCGGTGTCTGTCCGGCTGACTACATTCAGAGAAAAGTCAAAACGGTCATATAACCAGGCTACAACAGTTATGGAACTCCTGCGCTGGCTGCTGAAAGTGCATTGCAGAGTGCACTTGGGAAGGGCTGTGATGTCTGTTCTTGACAACTCAATTCAACTCAAGCAGAGATTGTTGGAAGTTATAGTAGATTGTTGGAAGTTAAAGTAGGGTGTTGGAGGCTATAGTAGATTGTTGGAAGTTATAGTAGAGTGTTGGAAGCTATAGTAGCTTGTTGGAAGTTAACAGTTGTTGGAGGCTATAGTAGATTGTTGGAAGTTAACAGTAGAGTGTTAGAAGCTGTAGTAGAGTTTTGGAAGTTATAGTAGAGTGTTGGAAGTTATAGTAGATTGTTGGAAGTTATTTTAGATTATTTAAAGCTATAGTAGAGTGTTGGAGGCTATAGTAGAGTGTTGGACATTAGGTACGAGCATAGTTTATTGGAAATTAAAGTCGAATGTTGGAAGTTATATTAGATTGTTGGAAGTTAATGTAGAATGTTAGAAGTTGTAGTAGATTGTTGAAAGTTTTAGGGATTTTTGGAAGCTATAAAAGAGTGTTGGGAGTTATAATAGATTGTTTGAAGTTATAGTAAAATGTTGGAAGTTATATTAATTTGTTGAAAGTTGTAGCAAACTGTTGGATTTTCCACTAGGTTGTTGTAAGTCATGTTTTTATTTAGGACATTAAGAGAAAGTTGTTATACTGGAAATTGTTGACTGCAAATTCTATATGGTTGATGTGAGATTTGTACTCAAACATGTCCTTAATTCATCAACTCAGCCTTGCTGATGAGAAATGTCAACAAGGAGGAAGTCACGCGTCTGGAGAGAGAGAAGAGGGACAAGGCAAAAGAAGAGCAAGAAAAGAAGAAAGAAAAAGACAAGCAGGATAGACTAGCGCAGAAACAGAAGCAGCAAGAAAGAAAGGAGACAGAGAAAAAGCGCACCCAGAAAGGAGAGAAACGAAGATAGCAGTCCTCTCAAAGTCTCTGTTGTTAGTTGTCTTATATTCTTTGTGTGAGTGGTTTTTGTGAGACCCCTAGCTAATATATGTTCTACAATCTCTGACACCTGGAGAGACTGACACCCAGAGAGACTCTGACACTTGGAGAGACTGACACCCAGAGAGACTCTTGACACCTGGAGAGACTGACACCCGGAGAGACTGATACCTGGAGAAACTGTGACACCTGGAGAAACTGTGACACTTAGAGAGACTGACATCTGGAGAAACTGTGACACTTGAAGAAACTGTGACACCTAGAGAAATTGTGACACCTGGAGAAACTGTGACACCTGGAGAAACTGACACCTGGAGAGACTGCATATTTGTCTTTTTTACACCTGGAGAGACTATTTGTCTCTCAGACACATGGAGAGACTGTGACACATGGAGAGACTATTTGTCTCTCAGACACATGGAGAGACTGACACCTGGAGAGACTATTTGTCTCTCAGACACATGGAGAGACTGTGACACCTGGAGAGGCTATGCATATTTGTTTCTCGTACGCATGGACAGACTGTCTCTGTGACACCTGTAGATTTTTACCTTTCTGTGACACCTGTAGATGTTTGTTCCTTGAAAGTAATTGTTGAACTTCCTATTTATTTTGTTGAAACATTTCTCTCCATTGTAAGACCAGTCTCTATGAAGCTTGCAGATCTGTGACACCTGGAAATGTGTGAGTGTCTTTGAGAATGTGTGTGTTGTATTGTCTTTGAGAATGTGTGTGATTGTATCTGAGACTGTCAGTCAGTTTATGTTAATGATTGAAATCAGGTATTAGTGAATTAGTCAAGTAATAAGAATGACTGAATGCTACAGTTTACTTGAGTTCCCATGATTTTGGAGCTCTGTGTGGGGGACTGGGCAAGAAATGGCAGCAGGTCAGCTCTGGACAGGGAGCGCACATGTCTGAGTGAGTCAACAAATCATATGGAGCACTCATGTCTGAGTGAGTCAACAAATCATATGGAGCACTCATGTCTGAGTGTCAACAAATCATATGGAGCACTCATGTCTGAGTGAGTCAAAAAATCATATGGAGCACTCATGTCTGAGTGAGTCAACAAATCATATGGAGCACTCATGTCTGAGTGAGTCAACAAATCATATGGAGCACTCATGTCTGAGTGAGTCAACAAATCATATGGAGCACTCATGTCTGAGTGAGTCAACAAATCATATGGAGCACACATGTCTGAGTGAGTCAACAAATCATATGGAGCACTCATGTCTGAGTGAGTCAACAAATCATATGGAGCACTCATGTCTGAGTGAGTCAACAAATCATATGGAGCACACATGTCTGAGTGAGTCAACAAATCATATGGAGCAAAAATGTCTGAGTGAGTCAACAAATCATATGGAGCACACATGTCTGAGTGAGTCAACAAATCATATGGAGCACTCATGTCTGAGTGAGTCAACAAATCATATGGAGCACACATGTCTGAGTGAGTCAATATGAAACAGAGAGCACACATGTCTGAGTGAGTCAACAAATCATATGGAGCACTCATGTCTGAGTGAGTCAACAAATCATATGGAGCACTCATGTCTGAGTGAGTCAACAAATCATATGGAGCACTCATGTCTGAGTGAGTCAACAAATCATATGGAGCAAAAATGTCTGAGTGAGTCAACAAATCATATGGAGCACACATGTCTGAGTGAGTCAACAAATCATATGGAGCACTCATGTCTGAGTGAGTCAACAAATCATATGGAGCACACATGTCTGAGTGAGTCAACAAATCATATGGAGCACTCATGTCTGAGTGAGTCAACAAATCATATGGAGCACTCATGTCTGAGTGAGTCAACAAATCATATGGAGCACTCATGTCTGAGTGAGTCAACAAATCATATGGAGCACTCATGTCTGAGTGAGTCAAAATGAACAGGAAGAACACATGTCTGAGTGAATCAATATAACATAATCTGATAGACTCTAGCCTGTCAGATCACTGTGATGGACTCTAGGTTGCCTTGTCACTCTGACAGACTCTAGCCTGTCTGAAGTGTTTGTTGAGCGTCTATCAGTTCTGTGTTTGTTTAAGCGTCTATCAGTTCTGTGTTTGTTGAGCGTCTATCAGTTCTGTGTTTGTTTAAGCGTCTATCAGTTCTGTGTTTGTTGAGCGTCTATCAGTTCTGTGTTTGTTTAAGCGTCAGTTGTGTTTTCAAAACACAAACACCAACCAGATAGCTACTAGCCAGCGCGAAGCGAAATAACAGAAACACTTAAACATCACATAAACAAACAACTGATATCAACTCTGACGTTTTAGACGTCACAATCACATAGATACACAAACTGATATCAACTCTGACGTTTTAGACGTCACAATCACATAGATACACAAACTGATATCAACTCTGACGTTTTAGACGTCACAATCACATAGATACACAAACTGATATCAACTCTGACGTTTTAGACGTCACAATCACATAGATACACAAACTGATATCAACTCTGACGTTTTAGACGTCACAATCACATAGATACACAAACTGATATCAACTCTGACGTTTTAGACGTCACAATCACATAGATACACAAACTGATATCAACTCTGACGTTTTAGACGTCACAATCACATAGATACACAAACTGATATCAACTCTGACGTTTTAGACGTCACAATCACATAGATACACAAACTGATATCAACTCTGACGTTTTAGACGTCACAATCACATAGATACACAAATATGGACTCTGACGTTTTAGGTGATACAATCACATAGACACACAAACTGATATAACTTCTACATTTTAGACGTCACAATCACATAAATACACAAACTGATATAACTTCTACATTTTAGACGTCACAATCACATAAATACACAAACTGATATAACTTCTACATTTTAGGCGTCACAACACTCGGATAAAGTGTATGTAACAATCGCTGGTGGCTAACGGGTCAAATCTGATCACACAGCAATTCACTAGATCAGACAACATAATACGGTATTTAACGGTCAGACAACATAATACGGTATTTGACGGTCATTTAATAATTAACGGGTCCTGCACAATTTCATCATAATACGGTGTCAGACAACACAATACGGTATTTGACGGTCAGACAACATAATACGGTATTTAACGGTCAGGCAACACAATACGGTATTTGACGGTCAGACAACACAATACGCTATTTGACGGTCAGACAACATAATACGGCATTTGACGGTCAGACAACATAATACGGTATTTAACGGTCAGACAACATAATACGGCATCTAACTGTCACACAACTACCCTGATTTGGACAACATAGTCATTATCATCAAGTGACAGGCGTTTGCGATCATGCCTCTTCACAGTCTACGATCTCCTGCAGCAATGTATCAGTTCGTGTGCTGACAGACCTCCATGTTGCCATGCCACAAGACTTCCAAGAAGGTTCTCTCGTTGTGTTCCTCCTTCCACAAATCTTTCCAGTGGTCAAAACATGTTCCCTTTTCTCATAACATGGCCGAAAGATAATGACTGTCTCTTGCTGATGTCTGTGTTAAGTTGTTTTTGGGTTTCGCCTTTTTCAGAACCTCTTGGTTTCTCTTTTTGGCTGTCCAAGGTATGCAAGAATTATTTTTCTAACTCTCAGTGACAAAGATATATTGCATAAGATGTTTTTCATTTTATAATATGCAGTTTTGGCCTGTCCTGTCCTGTTTCTTATCTCAGTAATGCATCTTCTTTCTGATGTTATCCATGTGCCCAGATACTTGAATTACTGTACTTTTCCCAAAATAACGCCATTGACTTTTATTACACATTAAGGAATAATTCTTTTCTTTGATACCACCATTACTTCTGTCTTCCCATTATTTAAACAGGCCCATTCTTCCACTTTTTCATTCACCACAATGTCTATCCTTCCTTTCCTGTAGTTCTTTCCGACTTGTTGCTATCAAGACTGTGTCATCAGCGTAACGTGATTTTTTTATATTGTGCCACAATTCCGGACATATCAGTTAAATGTCTCATGGTATATTCACTGTATGTAGCTCACGTCACCCCTTAGAGATCTACATACTCTCCTCTCCTCGGCGTTACGTTTGTGTAGTTCACTTGTGTTTGAAAAAGGCAGCCCGGTCGATGCGTTGTGTTTTTTTTGTTCACGTTTTTCTGCTTCCCCATTTTGTTGAGCTTTTTAGTAAAATTTCCCTGGAATTGCTTCTATAAGCTTGACTGCTGTCACCCCCCATATTTTCACCATTGATAAACTGGTGTGTTACAAACTTTTTGTAGACGATATTCTTATTGTTGCCACTGATAAACATCATCATGTAGTAGGCCCTTTGCAGACGTCGCTCTCATCACAGTCTACCTGTAAGAAACTCGGTCTCTTGCCAGTTCTCCCGCCTCATGAACTTTCCCATTCAAGGAGTCACTTATATCCTGTGCCCATCTTCGTGTCGGTCGGCCCCTGCCTCTCCTTCCTGGTACCATGCCTTCTGCTATAATTTTTTCCAATCCGTCGTGGCGCTTGATATGACCAAAATATTTCAGCTTTCGAGAAAGGATGCTGTTTATTAGCCAATCTTCCTTGATGTTCAGATCTTTTAAGATGTCAATATTTCTCATCTTCTTTGTCCAAGATATTCTGAGAATCTTTCTATAGCATTTCAGCTCAAAAGCCCCTATTCTTTTTCCTAAGGACTGAAAGATAGTCCACGACTCACATCCGTATGTAGCCACAGGGAAGATGCATGCGCTCAAAATTCTAATTTTAATCTCCTTGCTGGTGCTTAACCATAGACTTTTAAGGTTGTTCAATCTTTGCATTGCTATGGCCATCCTCCTTTTAATTTCTGTCGAACAGTCTCCATTGTTGTTTATTATAGAGCCCAGATATTCAAAGTTTGTGACATTTTCAATTTCTTCATCATTTATTGTTATTTTTGGGTGACATCGAGTTTTATCTGTGGACATTATTTTCGTTTTCTT